AAGAATATATCCAAAATTAATAAGATTATCCCTATATTAGTAAGAAGTACAAAATAAAATACGGGTCGGGTCAAAATTAAAAAATTAATCCAATTTCATCAATTGGATACTTCAAACTTGGATATTAAATTTGGTTTGGATACATACATCGGATACTTTCCATATCTAATTTTTGGATTGTATTATTTCCATAACTAATTATAGGATTTCCTAATATTTCTCTAAATAATTTAATATAGTCTTTTAAAAAATTATTATTCTTCTTTCACTTTTATTTGATCTTATTTTAATTTATGATATTATACTATATAATATAAATATATAATAATAAATTAACTTTTTTGCATATGTTGCAATTTGAATTTTTCAAAACGGACATATAATACTCAACTACACTCGGTTAAATAATTTGGACAATGGTTTAAAATCATTATAAGTATGACCAATATTAAAACCATTGTTACATGAGCATATTTAAATTTTCAAAAAGTATCAAAATATTACAATTTTTTTTTAGACATAAATGTAATTTTGGAGACATCATTTTTATTGATAAAATATATTATATATCAAATTATGTAAATTTTAGATAGCTCACGGATAGTTTGTTAAAATCATAATTATAACGATAAAGCGAGTTATGAATAATGTTTTCTTACAAAATGAATTATGTTACGGGTTGGTCCTTCAAAACATATATTGTAAATATGTAATTTTTAAGTATATTCCTACTTCAACTACAAAAATGGTCAAAATGAAAATTTATCGACAAATATTATTTCGTGCTGTTAAATTTTTATTGTGTTTTTAATTGTATCAAAACTCAATATATTATTATTTACTCACTTTTTTCCTTTATTATTTTATTTAAATTTATTATACAAATATATTATTTACCGTGATCGACTGCACTGCAATAAAATTAAAATCTAACATATTCTAATCTGTTAAAATTTAGATATAAGTAACTATTCCCCCCGCGCTGTAGCGCGGATCCGAACCTAGTTATATATGTATAATCTTTGTATAATCTTGACAAGAAAAAGAAAATTTTTATACAATAACACAAATAGAGGAACAACACAACTTCTTGCTTAATTACTATCCCGTTCTTTATTGTCGTTTAACCAAAATAAAATAGTTCACATGCTTCTCGCAGTTCTTGAAATCAATGGGGAATTTCGCAAGTTTCTCAGCAAAACGATCAAATAGCTCATCAACAATAGAAGCTCATCAACTGATGAAATTGTTCCACAAGGTTTGATGATTGTTATAGGAAAATGTTTTCCTACTGGTGTCCTCCACTTTGAGGCATGGCAAGGTGTGGTGGTAGATAGGATCGATGATTACCTTATGGATATGGCGAAATCGGTAATAAATTTGAATTTCTAAAACCTTTAAGATATCTTCTAATACAAAATATTGTTGTTTTTGTCAAGCTCAATCATCATGGTTTTTGAAACCTATATCTTATGTTACTGTAATTGATATTTGGCTATTTGCAAATGTCGTTTTTCTGGTTTGTAACATGATATTTCGATATTTGTCTTTTTCTTTTTCAAGATTATACAAAGAATATACATCGTTTTATTAAATTTTGGAGATAATTCTTTATTTGATCAGCTAATGACTCATTGCTAATTATTTCTTCACAAAACCATTAGAACTTTTAATAAATTTTAAATAGTATGCTACCAATATACTCCCGCTTTCTGGATCCAGGTATGATGATAATATAATGCTAGAATGTTGGATAAAATAAAGACTTTTTGTTAATAAAATAAAAAATTATAATTTTTTGATTGATTTTTTTATATTATTAATATTTTTTGAATTGCTGATTTATTTTATTGTAAATCGAGATATATATTTTTTATTCTGATATTAAATGAGGAAAAATAATATAGCATATTTATATTTATTACAAAAATGTTAACTTTTGAGTGTGAAACTTAATCATTTACATTTTATATTATTTTCCACATTTGTGAAAACTTGAGAGAGATTTAATAACGGAGAGTGTGCCTTGCAGCCTTGGTGATAGTTTGGTTAAAATTTCATGAAGAACTTGCAAAAAAAATTCAGGCTTAATAAATCCAAGAAAAGACTTGGCCGAAAATTACTTTTGTCATTTTCATCGAAGAAAATATATTAGAACCAAATCGAATAATATAATTAGATAACATAACACTTCATAAAATACACACATACTTAGTATAAATCTTACAAGCAAAAAAAAATCATCTCTCCTTTTTAGAAGCCTAATTATTATTATTATTATTTTTTGGATTTCTTATCTTCTTTCTTATCTAATTTATTTTTCAATTTTTTTCAACTTACTTAATTTTTTATCTTATTTCTTATCACTTCAAAACTATCCTCAAAGTGTAAAGATAACTTTCCTTTAGTTTCCCAACTAATAAATTTCTTATCATCTTTTGACTAATGAGAGAAAGACTAATATGTTCAATATGATTACATACTTTAAAACCACTTTAAAATATAAAGATAAGTAGTCAAAACTTTTTTAACAAAAAGATTTAGTTTCCATTAAAGGCCTAAACTAATAAACTTATTTTCTTATCTT